CACAAGCCATTCATCTACAGTCACATTGGGCCCAGGGTTATAGAGAAGTGGAAGCCGTTCCACCCACTTGTCCCACACAGTACAGATGGCTGCCAACTTGTCCTTCCTCTGCCTAGCAGGTCTTGATTCCTGATCATCAAACCTGATAACCCTGGAGAATATGTGGAAGCTCTCCAGTGACATTGTGGCTCCAAAAATCACTTTCCCTGTCTCAGCATGCCACAGACTTTCAGTTGACTACCCTCTGGATCTGTAGACACCTGCAAGGATGAGGATCCCGAAGTAAGCACGCATATGTATGTTGTCCATCTCTTTCCACTGCTCCCCAAAAACACGTCTTCCCTCAAGGTTGGTCATGTCCAGAATGATTTTCTGGATTGAGTGAGGAATCAGCAGTTCAAATGATGACACTATATCATGAACATATGTCACAGCCATTCGTGTGGGTCCTGGTACCATCCTTATTTTGTTAGCAGCTGAACCAGGGGCTTCACCCATCGGAGATGAAAACCATTCAATCTGGCCACTTTTGGATGTAGTTGGCTGTGGGGCTCCTGTAGTTTCTTCTGCTGCGTGCTCTGAGTCCTCATCATCCTCAAATTCACTCTCGTATTCAGAAGTTTCTTCAGTATTGTTCTCATATTCCGAGACATCTTCTTCCCCTCCACTATCTGTCTCACTCTCTGCTAAAATAGCTCTAAGGCCTTCTGAGCAGTGTACCTTTTGCTCATGGTGCTGGACAATTGAAGATGAAATGAGACACTGCAATCAAGAACTATTTATATGTAAATATAATGTATAGTCCACGTAGGTTCAGGTCAACAGCTTTTTTCCTTTTGTCAGTTTTCTTTTAGTAAAAATCTAAAAAAAGGGTCAATTTGACCTGGACGCAACACAAGGGTTAAGTAGCAATGACATTTTCCTTCATATTCTGCTAGTCTGTTTGCTATCACACTGTACAGTCAGAAAGTGGATGAAGCAATGAATCATCAGTCATTGCTCCGTGATCCTTTTACTGTGCTACTGAGTAAATGAAATGCCTTTGACAATAAAAATCAGGTTGCCCAATTATCTTGCACACTGACTCATTTTTCTAGCAGTCAAATCTTTCATTCTGTTTACTGTATTCAGAACTTCTGGAAATGGTCTCTGTGGAACAAAAATATACATCTGGGCTGACATTCTTCTTGGCACAGGCGTGGTGTTTCCAATGCAGTATAGTCTTCAGATGTATGGATGAAGTCACTTTTGAAAGTATTCCTCCAGGTTAACAGCCAGACAAATCAGCTTTGATACAAAGACAGGTGAAGCTTAACATCATCAGTCATAAACGGAGCACACACACACACACACACACACACACACATTCGGCTTCCTCTAATTTTCAACTAACCTGTCAGCTTCTGTGTAAGTATGCTGACTTTTGTGGCTATATGGTCTTTTAATTGTTTAACCACTAGAGGGAAACATTAGATAGTTTGACCAGAGTCTGAGCTTAACGCACTGGAAATCCAGTGAGGAATCATCT